CCCCGCACCCTCCGACTCCACCACCCACATCCTGCCAAAAAGTACCAGTGGAACCATTTCTAACTTGAATCTTTAAGCACACGAGATTCATCCAAGAGGGTAGCAAGCAGTGGTGGGAGTATTTCAGTGAGGCCCTACTATCGATTTCGATTTCGATTTACAGAGAGACAAAGAGGAGGAGACAACAATCTACCTTCTCTTAATTCAATCATGCCATCAGGTGCTAAGAAGCGAAAAGCTGCCAAGAAGAAGAAGGTTCATCACTCATCCACAACAACTCAATCTCATCAGGGTACGATTAACGATTTCTTTTTTGTGTTTGTTGCTTTTCTATGCGATTCAATTTGTGGGTGTGGTCCAATTTGTGATTAGTTTATTGTGTTTAATTAGTGTTTTCATTTCACATCTGTCTCTCAATCATTAATCTGCATCTATTCGTTGTCGACTTCAATTTTCCTTTTTCTAAAAGATGGTTTGGTGGGGTTGAGCTTATCTGTATTTGGGTATCTTGATTTTTAGTTTAATTTGTACAAAATCCCTAGATTTTAGCACTTTTGAGTTGTTTCACACCACACCCATCATCTCTGTCTGTATTTCAACTATTTAGGGCTTTTTTAAGTTCAATTTTTTATTGGGTGTTTGCTAGTTTTTTTTAGTAAAATTCATATACCCATATATAGATCTTGGTGTAATTGATCATCTATTATCTGTTCTAAATGGATCAAGCAATGGCAGGAGAGAATGATGGTGGGGAACTTAGCTCTCCAGCTTCACAAGATCCATGCATAGAAGGAGAGGTGATAGAGGTGAAGAAAGAAGGCAATTCATCTGAGACCACATTTAATAGCATTGAGAAGAATTCCAATGTGGAAGAGGGTGGTAATATTGAGATTGAAATTGGGGTGAAATCCAAGAACTCAAATGGTAGTAGTAGCTCAAGTTCTAGCAGTGGTAGTTCAGATGATGAGGTTGAGAAGAAAGTAGTGGTTCTTGAATCAGTTCCAGTTATTGAATCTATGCCCGAAAAGATAACTCAAAAAGTTGAAGATTTGGAGATTTCCCCCATTGTTGAACCAGTTATCAAGCCTGTTGATTCGTCGTTAGAAGAGGTGTCACAAGATTGTGATGAACCAAAGAATGAGGAGAAAAAAGATTTAGTTGTGGAGGAACAAACGGTGGTTGTTAGTGAGAGCGAATTAAAGGACGATTGTTTGGTTTCTAGTGTAGTTGTTGAATCGGTTTCGAAAGAAAATGGGGTAGTGAAATCGCCTTTGTTGGATGAGAAAGCTTCTTCGGAATCAAAGGATTGTGTAGCATCTTCTACATCTGTAACAGACTCGATTTCTGAAGTTAATGGCGCAAATCATGCAAATGATACTGATACAATTGGACACTCTGATAGACAGGTATACTCTTTCTTGATTCTAAGTGCTAGTTTTCTTTAATTTTGTGGTATTTGAAAGTATCTTGTGCAATTATCATGCAAGCTGCTATGTTTCCGAGCAGGGTACAAAATAATTACCATAAAATAAAATAAAAACAGAACTTCATTATGAAAAGTACTGTCCGTTAAAAATGACAAACAAGTGGTTTTTTGCAACATACAAGTGAGCTTTTCCAGAAAGGATGTGTTGTCTGTTTCAGCCATAAATTTTCCCCTCTACCCTTCTTTTATACCCTTTGTCTGCATGGCTGAATGTAAAAACAGACAAATGGTACATAGTTCCTAAGTGGGGATTTTGGTTCAGCCGTTAATTTCCCTCCATGTACCCTTCTTCTATACCTTTGTCAACTTCCAACTACAGATAACTTAATCTAGGGGCAAAGGGCTTAATGAAAAAACAAACAAATAGCATGTGGTCCCTAAGTGGGATTTTGGTTCAGCGGCTTCAGCCATTAATTTTCCCCCATGTACCCTTCTTCTATACCCTTTGTCTGCTTCCAACTTCAGACAGCTTAATCTAGGGGCAAAGGGCTTAATAAAAAAACAAACAAATAGCACGTAGTCCTTAAGTGGGGATTTTGGTTCAGCCATTAATTTCCCCCATGTACCCTTCTATACCCTTTGTCTGCTTCCAACTTCAGACAACTTAATCTATACAGACAATTTAATCTATACAAAGAGCTTAATGAAAAAACAAACAAACAACACCTAGTCGCTAATTGGAGGTTTTTGTAACTCGACGTCTATCTTGTCTTTATGCTTCAACATTCTATCAGCTTGTATATTTAGAACTTTTAGTCACCCAAATATGCACACTTGATAAAATTCAGAAAATCTATGCAGCCTCCGGTAGCAGCTTCGACTCCATTAGCAGTGCAAAAAACGACATCCTGGAAGAGTTGCTGTGGAATATTCGAGTTGTTTTCAGGATCCGAGAGGTAATATCAGGTGGGTTATCTTCCAACGATCTTAAAAAGTTCCCTTTTTTAATATTTAATCTGTTGTCACTCGTTAGAAGATAGATTTTATGCATTCCAACTTGTGGGAAAAGAGATGATGTCTGTGTCGAATTTACTGGGTTTGTTTGGTTTAAATTGTTGAAAGAATTAGTATTAAAAATTGATATAAACCATAGATCTGAATCTGAATCTGACCCATCAGTTGATCATGTCGGATCTTGAATCAGATCACGATCCATTGCGTCATATGATGACCGTCAATTGTGTATTGTCTGATCCGATCCAATTCCGACCCAACAACACATCAAATTCAAATGTTGTATAACAAATCCGTAGCGAGTTTTATTTTCTCGACTTCTTTTCTTAATAATATTTTTTAGTAGTGAGTTAGATTTGGGGCCTGGCAGATGTGTGCATACTGCCAAGCAGAATATACAGGAACTTAGAACCTGATAGGGATGCATTTGGTATATGAAACAAGACTGGACATAGCAGAACTAAAACTCGTTGCCTACGTTTAGTGCAACATTCCGGCGGCTGACTCAAGTGCCCCCCGAACCGCGCGAAATGGTCGCCTTAGTCATACTCCAAAAAATAAAATTTCTATTGAATCGATTGGGGTGGCTGGGACGGGACTGAAGGGGACAAAAATGCAGTTTTTTTCTCCCACTAAAATAGGTGGAACAGAAAAAAGGAAGGGATAGGACTAAAATGTTAAACTACAAACTACCCTTATTCGATATAAATACATATAGGGTCAGGTTCAGAGCAAAACCGCAAAAAAATGAAAAACTGAAGAACACCCTAGTAACTGTTTATCTGGAAGGTATGTACATGTACATGTACATATTGGTGATTTACCGATTTGGAAGCAATTTGTCCGGTATGCATATGTGCATAACATGCACACGTGCATAAAAACGAAGAAACAACTTTAATTACTTGTATGCAAATTGTGCATATTTTTCAGATGAACGGTTTCCAGGGTGTTCCTCAGTTTTTTATTTTTTAGGAGTTTTACCCTAAACCTCCCACTCTCTATCTCTATATATATATATGAACCAGTTCAAATAAGAAAGCTAAATATTGTGAGAAGGTAAGAAGAGATCGTTTATGTATGTATCATCTAAAAAAATCAAAAAAAATCTATTTGAAGATGCATATGTAAACAGTACAGTTACAGATAATTCATATGGGTTCACATATGCGGATTTTTCAATTATTAACCTTTCTTTCTTACCTTATCACGATATTTAGCCTTTTTCCCACTATATTTATAATTATAAAAGTGTGTTATTATGTATAAATGTTTATAAATATAGTATAAATAATTTATGAATATATATAACTAGAAATTATATAAATATTTGTTGATTTATGTCATTTATAACCATTATACGATATTAAGTAAACTTCAAACATCATTTGAGGGGCAATCTGGTCATTTAAACATTGTTACCATGTTCTGTCCAGCTCACCAAACATTGCACAGACAACTTGTCTAGTCCTGTGCTGTCCCAATTGTACCAAAACATCAGACATACAACTAGTTCAGTCATGTCCGGTCCATTCTTGTCCACATACCAAACACACCCTAGTGGATCTTCGAACCACTAGGGTTGTACTTCTTTTACCATCAATCATGGTGACTATATCTATTCATATGAATCGGATCATATATTTCTTAACATCATAACGATCGTTTTTGCTGATTTTTGTTTGCATCAAAGATTTACTCTGATTTGTGGTTAACATTTTCGTTCTTGTGTATGAATCCAGAAATTGATCATATCGAGCCATGGAGTTTGCTAGTTGTCTAATGAACCTTTGCCAAATTGCAAAACATGGGTCGTGCGTTGATTTTTCTTTCGAGTTTCGCCCTTGAAGAAGAGACTTCATGGTTGGAGTTGCTGCTTGTCGTAATCTTTAGGTCGCTCGACGTTCTTGGTTTACTTTTTTCGTACTTTTTTTTTTCATGAAATACGGGATAGTATATTCGTGTTTTTTATTTTTGTGGGTGTGTGTTGTTATGGAGGTGATTTTGGTGTGAAATATTTTGTTGGTTGTTGGTTATACGTTATACAAATTGATGGTTTGGTCGCCAAGGCTTCGTTCAAAACCTCTTGTTTTCGATTATGTCGTTTATGTTTTCAAAATGTTACAAGATTCTGATAATCGTTTTAAAAAAAAATATACCAAACTTGATTACGATGTTTTTATGGTGTAAAAGTTTTGCATACAAATAGAAACGAGTGTAATTGATACAAGTCGGCTTACAACAATCATGCTCGATGCAAATCGATCTTGATTTTTGAACCTGTTGATGTCTGTGTTTTAAATTGCGTGAGACGTGTCAGGTGTAATAGGAAGGTGAAACAATATTGTATTGCAATATAATACATGTTTCACTTATCTATACTATATTATAAAGCATTTGACAAAAACTTTTAAAAACAATGTTGTATACATGAAGTACTATTTATTGATGCATATTATTTAAAATTCAAGATTACAAGTAATTGTATGTAAGTACAACTTATTAAAGCTCCATTTTTAAATTCGTTTAACTAACTGCGGATAAACATAATCAAATACATGATAAACATATATTTTAAATATAGAAAATCTAAAATATAATTAAGATAATCATTGAGTTCTAACAGAATGTTTAATTATTATCTTTATAAAAAAAATTATATTGTTAAACCTAAAATAAATTACTTTGTTATTAAATCTAAATTTAAATTATATGAAAAATTGAATTAAAGAAGTTACACCAAAAACACGAGATCTATTAAATAGTTAATTTGATACTAATATCGATTTACTTTTTTCAAATTTTTATGCTATCTTCAAATTTATATTTCATTCAAAAATAAAAACATTTTCGTTTACTCAAAACCATGTAAAATCGTATTATATCAATAGAGACAAAGAATAAAAACTAAACATTAAAATCGAGATTTATCTCGCTGCATTATGCAAATACTCTTCTAGTAGATTAATAATTAAAATTTATACTACCATTTTATTATATCACCAAAAGTTTCTTCGTGAACAATCAACAAATGATGTAACTTATTTTACAAGTTTCCGACTTTCTGTTATCAAAGAATGATTATATTTTTTATATACCATATACTCTTATTAATTATAATATTATATATGTATACATATACATACATAAAAATGTATTATTAATACTTCAGGGTCAGAGACGAGGGATATCCTCGTATCCGTGGTTTTGTAAATTCAGGGATTCCCGATCTGTCCTCATTCCTGGTCAACTTGGGGATTCTCGGGTCAATCTGGATTCAAGTATTAGGTTCCCGTTCGGGTATGACAGGTTTCTTGTCGTTCCCACTCTACTGAAAATGACAACCGTTTTAATTATTATTATAAACATATCACATTGAATTGATGGAATACATTGTAAGACGTGGGGTTACCCTTGTCCATTCATTTGATAAAACACTGAGTGGTGTCAAATTCAACAGACTTTTAGTAATTCGAGTGAGATTGCCTCTGTGAGAAGAAGTGAGGTCGTTTTTAAAGAAATTAAATAACAAAAACTCAATTCCTAATAGATCTCGCAGAACGAGACAAGCGTTCATGCTCATACTGAATACAACAATGAAAGAAAATAGCTTTAAATATTTAGAATAGTAAAAACAAACTATATTCAATGTTGTGTATATTGAATTAATTGTCAAGTTATTTAATTAAATAAAAAGACAATAATGTATAGATGGATGAGCATTGGAAAATACTGATTTTCAAAAACTGATAAATATTGAGCGTTGGAAAATACTGTTCGTGAGAAAAATAAGAGTAATAGAGGTCCCAAAATCCATCTAGACATTTTATTTTGTCAAGGAGCACATGCACATTTAAATACAAAAAAATATTATAAGATACCAGAGGTGATCATTTACGGGTTCAGCTATTATCACGTGTTAGACCAAATTTATTTATTTGTCCAACGAGCCTAATAATACAGTAAAATCAAACCTTTTGTGGGTTCTATAAGTTGTTCTTACTTTACCATCGGACTTGTTAAGACCCTAACTGGCCTAATAGATATATATATATTCTTTTTTTGATTAACATGGATATCTAACCCGTTATGTGAGCCGACTAGTCCCAGGGCGACCACATGTTTTGTAGATAGTTTGGAATCACCGCATTTGAACCTCCATGGCCACAAGGATATTTTTATTCCTTTTTTGGATTTGAACCTGGAACCTCCTAATACTTTTGACATTTGGAATCAAACTCAAACCAAATCAGACACCACCTTTGTGGTTATAGATATATTATCTATAAAAATAACGCGTGTAAAATCATAAACTTCGTAAAATTATTCAAAGTACAAGATTTATATTCCAACTTAGAATAAGCTTTAATGAATACATTAATCTTATGATAATTAAAGAAGATTACAAAATATATGAAAAGAAAATTACTCATATATCTGATATAAAAAATAATATTATTATTTTAAATAAAATGGTTGAATGGGTCTATTTGATATTATTTTCATATTCTTCATATTTGTCTATTAAATAAACCATTATAATTATATTTAGGGGTCGTTACCAAACACTTACCTGGTAAGCATCTAGCGGTAAAATTCAACACTGTCATTTATTTGCCGTGTAAGATTTTAGTCAACAAAAAACGGCCTTCTATGCAACAAATTACCCGGTAAAAGCTGACCGTGGTAAGAGTCATTGCCCTCATTTACCGGGTAAGACTCTAGGTCCTTGTCTCACTCTTACCTAGGCATGGAAATTGGCCCGACCCGTCGGGGAACCCAGTTCACCCGCCCCGGTCGGGGACGGGGATCCCCGTTTGACCCAAACCGGGGATGGGGACGGGTATCACACTCCCCACCCGTCCTGTACCCGTATATATATTAATTAATAAATTATATTATATATTATTTATTTTTATTAAATCGGTAAATGGTAATTTTTAGTTCAATATATTTTGGATATTACTCAATATGTTTTGGTATATGTGACATTAATTTTTTTAGATTAATTTTTTTTTTGTTTTCCATTGTTAATTATTATATAACGATGTATATTTTTTGTATTAAATTAAATTCCTTTTGATTTTAGGTCTATTGGAAAAATAGGAGATTTAAACATGTGTAGCGTCTCATACATTTGAATTAAAAAAAATTACACAAACATGAAAAAGAAAATCCCCGTTTCTCCGTTGGGAATCCTCGTTCCCCGTTGGGGACGGAGGCGGGGACGGGGACAAAGATCAGGGATCGGGGACGGGGACCCCATCCCTACTCTTACCGGGTAAGATTCATGGTCTTTTCTATATTCATCCGATAAGGTAATGTTATTTAATAAGCACTTACCTAAGTAAACATTTGGTAAACAACCCTTATTCTTTTTGAAATAGTTATCCAAATCCTTTTTTTTTTTTTTTTTTTTAATAGTAAGTGAAATATTTTTAAGAAACTTAGAAGATACCTTAACAATCCAAAAAGTATCTTGGTCATGTTTAAAAGCATGGGTTTGAAAGTCGAAAACTTTGACTCACATTTCAAATTAAAAAATATAAAGTTGGATTTTTTTTAAATAAAAAAATTGTTTTGAAGATTGTTTCTTGAAAATTGCAACATAGTAGGTCATGATTTTTGATGAAAATATTATTTTAAAGAACCTTTGAAAAATGCATTTTTTTTATTAATAACAGATAACGGTAGATACAACTGATTTGAACATATATTATTATCAATCCAAACCTTGAAATTTAAACAAAAAGTCCAACATCTAAAACTCTTGACACAACTATAGTGTCTTCCTAAATGACTAAATGTTGCTAATGAGCTCCTTACACCAACAACCACAAAGATGCTGAGTTAAATCAAGCAAGAAGCTGCAAAGTGTATAGTTATATGGAATGGGGGTGAGAGGTATGAGGTTAATGTTCCCTGTTATGACTGATTGCGTTTTTTGATTACCAGAATATATATTGTTCTTGTAGAAAGTGGGAACTGAATGGAATTCCATGCAAGCATGTTGTGGTTGTTATGTGGAATATGGAAAACAATCCTTTAAGCTTAAACCAATCAATGGAAGATTGAGGCAGCCTGAATTTGACTGTCCCACAACACTTACTCCACCAAATCGTCATACTCAGATAGGTAGGCTAAAAAAAGAAGATTGTGGAAGAGTGGATTCAAGATTCAAACAAGTTGCCAAGGTTTGGGATGAGAGAAAAATGTACCAAATGCAAGCAACCAGGACCAATGCAAGAACATGTAAGGGCGGGCTAGTGGAAGTCAAGCTTAAGTGATTTATGTATGTGAATTTTAAAAAAAACATCTGTCTAATGTGCTTTCTTGTGGGAAACTTCCACAACTTTATGAGTATGTTATTTTGGTAATACTTTAAAAAGAAAGATACTTTATGTATGCAATGTAATGGTTTCCACTTTCAATCTGACAAATATGGTATAAAATGGTTTGGTTTTGGTATGAACTGTCTTGGATTTCATTTGAAATGGTTTTGACATGTTTGAAATGGTTTGGTTTTGGTATGAACTGTTTTGGATTTCATTTGAAATGGTTTGGTTTTGGTATGAATTGTTTTGGATTTCATTTGAAATGGTTTGATCTGGATAGGTTTGTACCAATTATTTAGGTGTGGACTTGTTTCATTGATGTCATTTTCGTTAACATCACATGTTAGGATCCAAACGCTTGCCACTACGTCAAAAGCAATTGCTGGTGGAGAAGGTGCAACTTATTTCCTTATAGCATGGCAGTCAGCGCCCCGTTTCGATTTAGGAAGATTGTTGGTTAATGACCCAACAATCCCCCCCAACATCTGCCAACACTAACAAGATCTTTGCTAGAAGTCAATGGCTGCACAACATGCCTTTGGCATTATTATGCACTCCATGGGATTCGAACTCGTGACTTGCTCTGTAATCACATGTTAGGATCCAATCACTTACCACTACGCCAAAAGCAATTGCTGGTGGAGAATGCACAACTTATTTCCTTATAGTGTAGCAGTCATCGCCACGTTTCGATATAGGAAGATGCTGGTCAATGACCCAACATCACCAACTCAAAGAAACATCAATAAGTGCATATTGTGCCATATAACTAAACTTTCAAATATTTACATATCTTAGCCACTGACACCTAACTCAAAAGTCAAAAGTAACACTGAAACATCATACACATGTTGACCCATCAACTAGAAAAAGTAGAAAAACCCCATCAATATCCATATCCAGGTGAAACAACAAAAAAGCTTCCATCTTCGTGCCTCCTCCTGAATTTCTTGAATGTTTAATAGCCTATTTATAATAGCCATATAACAAGAAGAAATTGGGGTTCAACTCAATTAAAAAAACCACAATTACATACATAATAAAGAAAATACGCAAAATGAGATCAAAATCAAATACAGAGAACATGGTGAAATAAGTGACTCCTACCATTCTCGAACAACAGTTGAATCAAAGACCTATTTGTTTCTGTCCATGATGTTCGAGTGGTGGCAAGTAAACCATAGTTGCAGTAAACTGTCGATGGAACTATCCAAGGAACCATCGGTGATTGGAAAGATAGAGGATAAAAGAAGTCGGTGTTTGGAGATAAAGAGAGGATGTAGATGGAACAATCTTAGATGAATGTTGGGGAATCAGTTTAATAAACAGAAGGAAAAAGAGGGAAATGGTAGAAAGACCAAAATGCCACTCATGTGAGGGAAACATGGCACCCCTAACAATAGTGCTTTGGACAATGTTAGTGAGAGGGCTGATTTAGGCTTCGGAACACGATATTTAGACCACCAATGTACTTATGATTTCGAGGGACGAAAACCAAAAAATAGGTATTCATGAGAGACCAAATATGCAATTCACTCTATAATACTTTAAACTATTAGTAAAAATAAACTTAAAAAAGGGTCTTAAGCAGTCATTTTTAAAAAGTTATTTTTTATTAAAGAATCTGTTATAACATAAAAATAAACTTAAAATCCCTAAAAGTTATACTTTATTTATCAGAGGTTACTTTTGGTTCGTATAATTTTCTCTGAATGAATGGAATATGTCAAAAGAATTTGATTTTGAAGAAATTTGAATGGAATTTAACCATGCGGTTGGTTGGAATGAAATATATTAAATGATTTGGAATCTGGTTGTTTGGTTGGTAGAATGTAGCTTTGAAATTGGAATGAGTAAACGATAAATGACCAAAATACCTTCTTTATAACGGTGGTGGTCGAGTATGGTTCAGAACGATTGTTCAGATCGACAGTGGTCGGCGACTGTTTAGAACGATGGTTCAGATCGATGATGGTCGGTCGTGGTAGGCGGTGGTTCAGATTGGTGATAATCGACAATGGTTCCGAATGGTGGTTCATATCGGTGGTGGTCGTCAATGATTTATATCTGTGGTTTAAAACGATGGTGGTTCATAATGGTGGTTTAGATCGACGGTGGTAAGCGATGGTTCAGAACGGTGGTGATTCAGAACGATAGTGGTTGGCACTGGTTCAGATGGAGGTCATATGGGTCTAGTTAAATCAAGTAGGAAAAACGAGATTAAATTTTGTTCTTTTGAAAAAATGAGATGGAATGGAATTGAATTCCTTCTCAATTATGATGCAATGACCAAATCTATAAATGGTGGAATGTACGGAATTCAATTCCATTCTATAGAAAAACCAAACGCTTGAATGAAACTCAGTACACGAAATTAATGATTCTATTTCCTTTAAATTATATTGGAATCTTACGAACCAAACGCCTTGAGAATTGGTCGGAAATGCCGTAGATAGAGGATAGAATCATAAGAACAAGAAGTCAAAGGGCTATTTTTGCAAATTTAAAGATTTAAGCTTTTTCTGTGTTTCATAGGTTGTCAGATCTATAACCATTACAATATCAGCAGCCTGATAGAAAATTTAGCCAGTTAATCTCAATTCGTTTTCCCCAGAGATATAGTGAAAGAGAGGGAGAGGGTGAGGGAGAGATCGAGCAATAAGCATCGCCATGGACGCTCTAAGGAAGCAAGCAAGTAAGCTTCGAGATCAAGTGGCCAAACAGCAACAGGTAATATAATCACCCCAAATTATCTGATTAAACTATCTCACCGAGTTCAATTTTGGATTTTTTTTAATTAGAGTGAGATATCAATAATTCCGTTGGTAGTTCATGGTGAAGTAGAATTGGGATTCTTACATATAGGGTTTTGTTGCTCTTGAATGATAATTTACTACCAATACTTACTTTCGTAAAAACCCCTCCCTCGCATCTACCGTCTTTTGAGAAGTCTTTGGCGGTGGACTATTAATTCGCTTCGGACCATGATTTTGTCGATTTGGGAAGCTATATGGATCAGCTTGGTGGTTTGGAGAGGTGCGCATTGTCAACTTTTGAACAAACAGTATTTGGGATTTGGAGCTAATTGTGATAACCAGCAGTTTACCGTTTTCTCCAACTACGTATTTAAAAAAACGAACCTTGATATTACACTTCAATGTTGAAATGAGCAAATTTGACATCAATCAGAGTTTATATTTCTTTTTGGGACATAGGGGTTTAACAGTTCAATGATTCATGTGGTGCGCAGCAGTTTGTTTAGCTTAGTTTTAACAGTTGACCGTTTCATTTTACGTCTTAGTGTTTGTATAGGTTGTACGATAAGAATTAGGATTTCAGAAAGAGGCTACTTTGCTGATTAACTAAAGGGACTTGAGTGAGTGCAGGTTTGTGTGTGCTTTGTTATATCCTTGGACTTGGTCAGTGTCCCTTTAACAGAACTAAGATTACTCGCATGAATTATTCTAATTCTTATAGACATTGTTGAAGGTCAATGTTTGGGCACCCTTCTTGGTTGGATATGATGATAAATCTGTTTAAAAGTTATCAAAATCTGGTTAAAAGGGAGATTGTAGTGGCTATACGTCGTCCCGTGATTTGATGGGACATGTTGTTCACTCTAAGTGTCACCACAAGTCAATGTGGATATAAACCATCACATGTCCTAGCATCTTAAAATAGAAGAATGTTTTTCCCAGCATTATTCTTTTGAAATATGAGTGCTTATTGTCAAAAGGGCAAGAATAAGCAGCAAGTTTTGAGTGTACTATTATGGACTTGAGTTTTAGGAGCATGGCAAAATTATGGTTTTGCTTGTCTTACAAGACAGTCTTGATTTATTTATGGAGTAATTTTGTTAAGTAGGGTGTAATTGAGTTGAGCCGAGCCAAGACCAAGGTAAGTTCGAGTGTGCTTGGCTTGTTAAAAAATAGGCAGGTTTGGCATCTGCTCATCGCTTCCCAAGCCTAAAACTCTCGGGCCTGCTGCTTGACTTGGCTAAAGGTCGAGCCTTGACTCGGATTGCATATATTTTGTTCATAAAGCCTAGGCTCGACTGTTTAGACCGGGTTCCTATGGGTTTATAAGCTTCAGCATTGCTTGATTTATATGGGATCGTATGAAATTAATGGTAAATCTTTCAAAAAAATAAAAATAAGCTCTCTTTAAACTAGAAATCTTTAAGAGGCCAAGATTAGTGGGCTAAGTAACATTCAAGCTATATCATTTAGGCTTGCTAAGCTGTTGGACCTGAGCAATAGTAGGCTCGAGCTTGGCTCGGATAGTCAGATGAGTCCACTTGGGCTCAGACTCACTGAACTTGTTGACTACCCACCCAGCTCACAAGCCAACTTGTTTTGTTGACACCTCTATCTGTAAGTTAATGTTCTGGATATTTCTCGTTTCAGGCTGTGATAAAACAGTTCAGCGCGAGTGGGTATGAGCATTCAGATGTGGTTGTTATTGATGAGCTGGAGATGCAAAGACACCAGCACTTGGAGAAGCTCTACAGATCAACTCGTTCAGGAAAGGTAACAATGCAAATGTAATTCACTGATTTCACCCTATCTATTAATCCACTCAGGTGCTTGATTGCTCCATATGGATCATGTATATATGCTGTTTTTAACCACTGACGTCTGACCTTAACTAGAATGTGGTACATATTCTTTTGATTCGAGCCTAATAAGAATTTATTAAGTTCACCCATCTTCTGGAGTTATGGGAGTAACAGATACAACAATGATTAATGATTATGTGATAGTTGTGAGTAGGGTTATTTATCCGTTATTAGCTTTGGTTAAAGTACAATTTATGAAATTATAATTCTGCAATAGTAGCTTCCAGATATTGAAAATGAGAACATTTTCTACCACCTGTGGAACAAAGCAATGGAAAGAATCGTAACCCAAGTCTCTCATTTGCTGTCTTCAATTAAGAGATCCTAGATGTATTGGTAGTTCTTCGTATTTATGTAACCTTCTTCCGTAGTCAGGTGAAATTAGTTTCTGCATCTACCTATAGTGTCAGGCTTTCAGCTTCTTCTTAGCTGTTCATCTCTTTGTTTTTTTTACCTACTAATACATTTCTAACTTTTACATGTGGGTTAGTGTGGGAAGTTCAGACTCAAACCTGCATATTCTGCAATTAAGCAGGGGCCTTACTAGGTACCACGAGCCTCTTGCTTTCGTCTTAGTTCTACACTTCTACATAGAGTATGATTAGACTATTGCAGTTAGATCTCTTAAATGTAGCACCATCGCTAGAGTATAGGACTATTTGGTTAAAATTGAGGAAATACTAAAGTTGCACGTGTATTTGAAGGTTCTTTTGGCCGTATCAGTCTTTTCATCAAACAATCACACATTTCACTCCAACTGATAATTAAGATTAATGTGCTATAATTGAAAGGTGCTAAGCTCAAAGACAGCATTTGTGTCGTTTATAGTCGGGAATTGGTAAGCTGTAACACGTGCTCCTCTTTAGTCTCTCTGTTATCCACTTTGGAAGGGCTTGTAATTCTCTCCCATGTTTCTTCATTTTGTTATTATAGGATAATCTTCTACTTGCTTACGACGCAATGAAACCCATGCCAAGGATTCACTTCTTTGAGGAACTTGTCCCCCATAAAATGGGCCGAACCCTTTTAGATGTTTGATTTCAAGTTTGAAGCATACTGACTTTAAAGTATGATAAAAGTAGTGGTGGTTGATCTGCAAAACAAATAAAGAAACAATACGAGACATTTAAATGAAATGCTACTGTATGTTGTTTGTTCAAATATAAATAACTTGGATAAAAGAAGCATCAACTGATGTTTATCGAAACCACTTCAGTATGAGTGTTGGTTAGTTCATCATAGTGTAATCCAAGTGGGTAGTCTCATTAGGTACATTATTTTGGTGCACCTTACATGGGAAAACTTTAGTAGGGTGTTTTTGATGCTTACATCTGTATATATGTTTTGAAGAGTAGGTATTACGAATAACCACTTATATTATGAAACTGTCTTCATATGAAATTTAGAGGGCACTGAACACACAGTTGTATTTGCATGCAGCTGTGTGTATGTAGCACACAGGCATACTCGCATATACACACACATAGATACCACATACTAACACACACATACATTCAGACTACGGACACTGACACACACAAATGATAGGTGGGTTTACAACCCCCTAAATCTAACCGTAAGTGTACGGGTTGGATCAAGTAAAATGTATGGTAAATACGAGTATTGAACCAAGGGAACTAGGTACCGAGTAACACAAGGACTATAACTACTATTAACTGGATGGTTTGAATTGAATGATTGATTGAACTGAATACTGGTGATCTATATGAATACTTTATAAGATTAACAGGTTCAGCAAAAATTAAGATTGAAACTTCTATAGGAGAGAAGTTGTTGGGAGTTGGAATCCTAATGGGTTTCGACATAGAACACTTCAATTATAGATTTAACAGATTGAACAATCAATGAACACACAATCACTCTCATATCCATTACTCTTTCTCAACTTATAACTGGTTTATCTATGAGAAGGTATGTGTCATCTCTCGATCTCAACATACAGATTCTAAGATACATTTAAAACAAGATTGTCAAATTATTGCTAAGGCTTAATTGGTAAAATCTCTATCCAAGATCTCACCCTAGGCATACAATTTCTAATTCTAATCACAACTTACTTTTCTCAAAGACAAATCAAGATAACAGATCAGTTGATAGTTGATCAGGCTAACAACACTAAGAACAAACAATATACTTCATTGAATTGAAAAACCTTAATAAAAATACAATCTTTACGTGTTCATATGTTTAATAACCCAAAACTCATCCAACCCCCAACATTTCATGGTTAGTTCATGTTGGGGTTTGTAGAAAACGAAACATTCAAGAAGAAAATCATAAATCTAGACATCGTTTCTCCACTATGAATCTAAAAGTATGTTAAAACTCCCTGATGTGTTGAATCCCTACGCACAAATATGGATAACCTGCAACGATCTTCAATCCCTTCGTGTTTCTTCACTCTTCTTCCTCTGAACATCTGTGCAAAGCTCTCCCAAATCGCCTTCTTGGAACCCTAGATCGATCCAGCCCCCTTTTTTGCAGCTGAAAACAGCTTAAAAGACAAAACAGGCACAACGCAACCCCCATACGGGTGAACTCGCGTGGAAGTTTCCCGGGTCTCCTTTGGCCGTGGTGCTTTAACAGACTCGCATTCTACCCGCTTTCTTCACTGTTTGGGCCTAATTCAATTAATTATTCAGCCCAAAACTGGTTTTGACTTGGGCTTCCACGAGAATTGACCCAGTGACTTGGGTTTCTCGATTCTCTTCAATTATAACTTTCAGTTCTGTTGATTTCTTCTTTTCTTTTGCAAAACTGATGTCTGTCTAAACTCGCAATAAACCGTTAGAATGACGCATCACCATACAAACTCGCACGGAAAGTGGTGCTAGAATAACGCCAAAAATGACGTTATCAACATACACCATGAGTGCACACCCTATGTCATGAGATTGGCCATGAGCGACCTCCCTTTCAATATTGAGTGCACCCCCTTTCAATATTTTGGCCATGAGCGCATCAGCAGCACCAGTTTCTTCTTACACACAGCTGCAACTGCAGCTGTGGTTTCCAGTTTTCCCTTAGAATAATTGGTTAGCATTCAGCTCTTAGATATCAATTATAAATAGTAATAGTTCCTGACTTTGTGGTAAAGGATTGCGAAATCTCTGTTATTTAAAAAGAAGGAATGGACTTCATATTTACTGGCTTGTAGTTCTGGTAAATGGCTTTAACCAAATTAGTTGACAGTCTGGGAAATCTGTTATTATTTATTACATATGGACATTTTGTTATGTTCAAATTGCATTCCAATTAAGTCAATAAAAGACAAAATATATTGATGTCCCAACATTCATTCTCCCCTCATAACAATTAGTTATATCTCAAGACTCAAGGTACATAGTCCCCATTTTCTAGTTTCTGCTTCATGCTAAAATTTGACTGGAATGATGTGTATGTGTGCTATTGTGCTCCTTAAGAGTTCATCAAATTCATTCATTTTAATGAATCAGTTCGCAAACTTACCATGAAGTGTAGGAACTCAAATCGTAATATTTAGGGGTGAGGCTGAATCTCATGACATGGTTCTTATTTTACTGAGAACTTGGTCTTTGTTTTTAGATGTGGGTATATCTCCACAAGCACGTCTATTTGTTTTGAGGTATGAGCGGAGGTTTTATCTAGTGAAAAGTTCATATTCATTTTAAATCGGGAGTCTGAACCTCAGTTCCAATTTCAAGTCTTCTGCTTTTTGCAGTTTTCAAACTGGTTCTCTAGAAATGTTCTTGTTTCTCTTGTGGTCTGACATTTTGGATTTAGTAACATGGCATGTTATACCAGGTCGACGTGCTGGCCAAATTCTTTCATTTGTTCTCTTTGATGGAAGTTGAATTTTCCAGTAAAAAATCCTCATTTTGGCCCTTCTTTGTATTCTCCAGGAATTCCAAAGAGAATTGGTTAAAGCAGCAGAAGCTTTTACAGCCATAGGATATAAGCATATAGAAGCAGGTGAAAAGTGCCTAACTACAATAGTTTTGATCTCAATGGCTTACATTATACAAAATTTTTAACATCTTGTGTGGATGGAGAATTATTTTTCTATAATGTTGCTTTCTTTATTTTACTGATACCTTCCTTTTGTTGGAAATTAGGAACTAAGTTGTCGGAGGATTGCTGCAAATATGGAGTGGAGAACGCCAGTGATGAAATTTTGGCCAAGGCGGCATCTATATATGGTGATGCACGTAAACATGTGGAGAAGGAGCAAGAAGATTTCACCAGGCTGTTATTTTCACAGGTTATTTTAAATCTATTCTAATTGAAAATGAATCTTGCAGCCCTATAACAAAGCTCATCGTGTAATCTGTTCGGAAACAACCGTTCATTTCTTTGATTCCTCCACATACGCTACAACAATTTGGCTTATAATTGGATAATCCCTCTCACAATGATTTCAATCTAGTGTAATACACACCTACTGAATCATCATTTTGAGATAAGTTCATTAACTCTCTTCTGATCTGGAATCTTTGGGCCGTTGCTTTGTTGAAGTCTTTCTTTCAAATTGTTCCATATTTCAAAAGCTGTTTCTGCAAACATGATGCTTTAATCTCCTTCGATATTGAAAATTTAGTATCCACGAGATCTCTATGGTATTGTTTCTTTTCCACGAATTGAGCAGCACCGGATTGCCTTTATGCTGTGGCAATGTTTGTGGAGGGAGAGAATAGTGTATGTAGCTGCATCTTTATAGATTCATACAAGAAAATAAATTGGCATGTGTATGGTTCTCTCTGTATCCCATAATAAATGCAACGATTTCATTTCTTGCATGCCCCAAAATAAATAGAACGAAGCCTCAATATGAGATTACCATTTTGCCAACTAGCAGTCATTATAAAGTATTGATATTGATTTTTGTTCACAAGATTAAACTAGGATGTCATTGTTAAGGAGTATTTTAGATATATTATCAACTGAATCACTTCCTTTAAGTTGTGTACCTAGTCAAATATTGCATTCATTTTGGGATAGATGGAGCATTTGTCTATTTATATGTATGTATTCACACTCTGGGATTAGTAGACAACATGTCGCTTATTTTACGACTTTACTTTTGATTATATGGTGTTGCTTACTTTTTTCTAGCCTTAATCTTCTTTCCTTCTCTCAAATTGTTCAGACTTTTTGGGCAAACTTTCTTTTTCACACACACTTTTTGCAAGCGCCTCTACTATCTGGGGTAGAGGACAGGTCTCCAGACCGCATCTCTGGGTGGACATACTGAATTCGTTTAGTTTGGTTTGGTTATGTCACTTATTATAGACCTAGTCTTTTGGCTTTGACTATTCATTAGAGTCTTGCAAACCATTGCTTTTCTGAAAACTTCAGATCCTAGAACCCTTGAGAGCGATGATAACTGGTGCTCCTTTAGAAGATGCCCGGCATCTTGCTCAACGATATAGCCGAATGAGGCAAGAAGCAGAGACCCAGGTAATCCCTTGATATGCTTCCCGCTGCGTGCATAAAAAGCTTAAGTTATCCTAAACTTTGTAACGGCATTGATAGTAATTGACTGTTGAAGCAAACAGGCAGCAGAAGTTTCTAGAAGGCAAGCACGAGTAAGAGAAGCTCCGATTCCCGAGAATGTGACAAAGCTGCATGCAGCTGAAAGTAGAATGCAGGAACTTAAAGCAAACATGGCCGTACTTGGAAAGGAAGCATCTGCTGCACTGGCTGCTGTTGAATCACAGCAACAAAGGCTTACATTCCAGAGACTTGTTGCAATGGTTCGTGTTCCATGTTATTGTTATAATATAGTTCCTCCGTCCCAAAATAAATGTCCACAATAAAAAAGACACAGCTGTATGAATATGTTATTAATTACACTTTCTAATTAGCTAAATGACAATTTTACCCTTTATAATAGATGGAGTATGAATTTCTCTATCTCATTATTAAGGGTAGAATCGGAAAGTAGACACTTATGTTGGGACAAACTGAAATAGAAATGTGGACACTTATTAAGGGTATAATTGGAAAGTAGACAATTACCGGTTTTTATTACTCAAAAGAATGATGATTTTTTAAAGTTCTAAGACACGTTTCTTGTATTTGAAGGTTGAAGGGGAAAGAACTTATCATGAGAGAGTAGCTGCTATTCTACATCAGATTGAAGCTGAGGTTGGTGCTCACAATATGCATTTGGAAGTTATTGCAGGTTTACTTTGTCTGATTTTGTGAACTTCTTGATAGATGGTTTCCGACAAACAAAGGAGAGAGTCTGCCCCTCCTACAGTCCCGTCTAATCTTTTGTCAGATAAAACAAAGTACTTTTTGGCTGAGGTAATCTTTCATTTCTCGAATTTCACTACCATATTTTCATTTACTTCCACGTGAACCATGTTCCACATGTTCCATTTTTGCACTTCTCTGCTTTAACTTTAGGTACAAAGTCTTGATAGAACTTTACATATGAAATTTTGATGGAACATAAATACAAATTCATGCTTGGGGAACCTGATTATAAAAGAAAATCAGGCACTATTCCATTCATAATCCTCAGGTTTGTAATTCATGGACCCTAAGGGTGCGTTTAGTATGTTGGGCAGAATGGGACAGGACCGAATAAAAACTTGTTGTCCCATGTTTGGTGTGACATTTAGACCGGGACAAAATGCAATTTTTTGTCCTACCAAAATAGGTGGAATAAAAAATCAGGGAGATGAGACGAGTTTGGTAAATTACTAAAGTACCCATGTCAAATTAAAATCCTAAAAACTTGCAAAAATTCTTTCACCCGCCTACCTTATTCTCGTCCCTCCACTCCCGTCTGCGTACCAATCACACCATAAGGGGTAACCTAATTGCCTCGAAACTCCAAACCCTGGCTTCCTCCACATGGAAACAAAAAAAGACTAGAAAAAAGAACTACTGATTTTTCTGGGAAACGGCAATTACAAGAATACATGTAACATACTCCCTCTATGAACTATCATATGAAAGTTGTAACATGTCACTTGGTACATTGTTTGAGTAAAATGTTACAATATATGTCATATGTCCAAAACACTCCTCAATGAGAGAAACTTGTGGATCCAACTCAATAAATTCAGAAAACTTTTAATGATGATAATGGCCAAACAATTAAGTTTAACTTGCAACACGTCCAAAAAGTTAAAGTTTTACTCCCTCCGTCCCAAAACAAGTGCCCACATTTCTATTTTAATTTGTCCCAAATTAAGTATCTACTTTCAAAAGTAAGAACCTACTTCCCAATTCTACCCATAATAATGAGATGGAGAAATTCATTACTCCCTCTACTATCAAGGGTAACATTGTCATTTAGTTAACTAAAAAAATGTAATGATTACACATTTTTTAAACTATTTGGGGTTTTGATTATGGACATTTATTTTGGAACGGGGTGAGTAATTTTCATGGGACAGCCCGAAAAGGAAAAGGGAAGTGCTGCAGCTTTCAAGTGAAATAGTAGTTATGCTGACACATTCTTGTGAATTCCCTTCCTAAAAGATCATTGGACTCAAATTGGATCAAACACTATTTGATGAAGTTTTATTTATGTTATGTAGGCAACACACGCTTTTGAAGCTTCATCTGATAAGGAACTAAACTTGGCGGTCGGTGACTATGTCGTAGTGCGAAAGGTTAATTCTTATTGTTCTCTAAATTGCTATTTTCCATCTTCAGTGTCATCCAGGTTTCTTGAAGCTTTTCAGAGGTTTGAACCTTCATGTATATGATATTTATATTTACGGCTATAAGAGGTAGGCACTGAATGAAAAGGAGTTGTTAGGCATCTCCAGATCCATTAAGACCTATTTATTATTCAATAAGAATGGTATTTACATTAAAGAATCAAATCAAACGTACCCGGTATATACCACTCGATAGTAGGGCTTGGAGGGTAGGATTTATGCACACTTTCCTTTACCCGTTGGGTAGAGAGACTGTTTTTCGTGAAGAACGATATTTACATTAGAAGGTGGAGGTCAACTCTCACATCTCACCTAGTGATGGAAATTTTACCTGTGGGAACCTGACCCCTAACAGGGCAGGGATTCCCCAGCTTATCGGGTAACAGGGCAGGGATGGTTACTACCTTCATATCTGAAGCGGGTTTAGGGTTTGGGATGGTACTACCTGCCGCTAATAATACCCGATATATGTATATATATATATAGATATAGATATATGTATATATATAGATATAGATATATGTATATATATATATATATATATATATATATANATATAGATATAGATATATGTATATATATAGATATAGATATATGTATATATATATATATATATATATATATATATATATATAGATATAGACTTAGGATCATGTGAGACCAAGAGTTTTTCGTGACACCCATAAGACCAATTCTCAACCCTTGGATTAGATCTACAATCTAATATTCATAATCACAAAATTGCCAAGAGACTTCTCAATAATCACAAAATTGCCACCGTACAACTTTAGACCATCAGATTATTAGCTTATAAAGTTGATCAATGAACATAAATTGGTCTTACGGGTCTCACGAAAAACCCTTGGTCTCACGTGAACCCAACCCGATATATATATATATATATATATATATGCATAATTTGATTAGTTTCTTTTTTGTTACTTAATAATTTTATACTTTTAGTACTTTTAAATTTGTCATGCACTATGTGATCTGTTATGTCATTATTTGTTTTTGAAATTCGGAGGTTTTTTTGTTTGTTTTAAAAGTTAAAAACTCATTTTTCCTTTTCATTTTAAAAAACAAATTTTATTCCTAAATGGGTACCAAGGGGTTCCCCACACCTGTCGGGATCCCCCTCTCACGGAACCTGTAGGGGATAAGGTGGGAGTGGGGTTGGGGACGTGGGACATAAGACGGGGTCGGGGGGGGGGGGTGCATTCCCCTCCCCGTTTCCATCTCAAAATTCTCATCCCATACCCCACATTCGGGTGGGATAGCTTGTTTTTGGTTGGTTTTTTCTAACATCTAGATGTAAAAGAATACCCCGAACTGGTGCGTTTCATAAGTTTGACATATTCGGTGCTATACTTTTTCAGGTGAGCCCTTCGGGATGGTCGGAAGGAGAATGCCGAGGTAAAAACGGCTGGTTTCCATCGGCTTACGTGGAGAGACGTCAAAGGCTTCCTAGCGCTAATGGAACTCCCGACTTTTACTGATCCACATCTCTTTACAGGTCTTTCTCTCACAGCGAAGCCACGTTAAATTTGATTTTTGGCATTTCGTTCGTTTTTTTTCTAGTTCATAGGGTTCTTGCTTTGACACGATTATAGCCGATCAATCTGTAAACTAAATGGGTGTATGTTGAATTATGCAAATGAATTGTCACTTTTTATTCAAAAAACATGAACAAACCATGCAAAAATGTTTTTGTTTTCATCATCAATCTCAGTTGGTTCCTGAGTTCCCTTGAACCCATGTACAAAACCACATAGTGAAAGATGACCATGAACCATGGTTTAGTGGTGCACCAAGACTTTCTGATTTTACTAAAACGCCCTCACCGTACCGGTCTCATGACCGGAAGTAAACCGCTGGTCCTGGATACAGGTGGGTTTTGGGTTGAACCTAGATATAGGTGGGTTGTGAGTTGAATCCCTGACGTGTTGCATCTTCTATAAGAAGGTCCACTTTCTTGCCTGCTAGACTAAAGGGTTGTTTGTTTATTTCTTAATAGTTTCATTAAGAGGCAATATTTCAATCGCTAAGAGCTGAATTTGTTTAGCAAAAAAAATTCTGTCTCTTAATGGTTCTAAAACCCTCTGAATAATTTTGTATCTCGAGGCTCCCTTAATCATTCAATACCCTAATTTCATTTTGAATAATTACCAAACAATTATATTTCATTTTGCACTATATTATAAAAACCTTTTAATCATTTTAACCATTTAATCATTAAACATCAAACCGTTCAGCAATTGCCAAACAACCTTTAAAAGTTTCTCCAAAATGAGAGAAACAAAAGTCAAATAAAATCTCAAAAGAAATCTATGACTTTATTCGTTTAGGAGATTTTAACGTCAATTATGTTGTTAAAATATTTAATTATATAAAAGATATTATCTTTCTTCCTCTATTTAATTTAATTAAATTCATCTTATTAAAGAAACAATAGTTTCATACTCATATGAAGGTTACATATTTAATTAAAATCTTATTTATGATTATATACCTTAGACTATATTTGACAAATTAGCTGATAAGTTAGTTGGTGCCTGATAAGTTAGATAGTAACTGATAGACATATAATGTTTGACAAAAACTAATTGATAAACATGTAAAATGACAAAAAAAATCTTGAAAAATTAGTCAAGTACAATATTTTATAATATATTTAATAATATAATATAGTAATACAAAAAAGATAG